TTATGGTCTTTGAAAGTCAAACCGGCGAAGTTGTATTGTTGACAAGTCGCTCAAAATTATTAAACTAATTAAAAATGTAGTACGTTTGATCTTTGATAACTTTGGTATTGGTGTTCTCGTTTTCGGCCGTATACCAGTGGATTCGTCTCACTATTCTCTTCATCTTGATAGTATTTTGAGTCCAAAATATTTTATTTTGAAGGCCGTTTTAAAGCGCAGTTTTAATAAGCGAAATTGTAATTAAAAATGCAGTACGTTTGATCTTTGATAACTTTGGTATCGTTGGTGTTCTCGTTTTCGGCCGTATACCAGTGGATTCGTCTCACTTTACTCTTCATTTTGATAGTATTTTATTTTGAAGGTTTTAAAGCGCAGTTTTAAGAGGGTCTATTATTGTGGATTGGTTTTTGTCCGCCTTCACCGTTAAATTAATCGCCCGTATTTTCTTCGTGAAAACTGTATATAACCGCAACTTTTCTTATACAGTAAACGTTTATTGGCCAGGTACTTCGCAACGATCGACGAGAGAACAAATATGGCAGATTTTCGTTGAGAAACATTTAACAGCATGATATATATATATATATATATTCAAGAATCTTGTTGGGCGCCTCGCTAGTTGCAGACGCAAATATAACACAATCAGGGCCGTAACTAGACGCGATAATTGGGGTGAATATTCATATAATCATGTTCACATACCGTAAAAACAATCGCTTTCAAACTGAAATCCGTCGGGCAGAACCCGAATATATGAATATTCACCCCTCCCCCCAATTATCGCGTCCTTTTTTCAGAAAGCGGTATCAATTTCCTGTGCGTAATACAAAATGACTGAGAAACGGCAAACTTTGCAGGGCTATATTATCCGCATTTTACAACATTTCGTAACGAAACTTCGGAATATTACTAATTTTGTGATGCTCTTTCAAGCTGTGTTGAAATTTTTGTCTAGACTTGTCTAGATCAAAATTTTGTTCATTAGGGAATAGGTCCATTAATCCGATTATTGACAGTTTTTGTCTTGCATGTCTTGCATGACAAATGTCTTTGTTTTGAAAGCGCGTCGTCGAGCCGGTGTCACAGGAAATTTGCTCCCCCCCCCCCCGAAAATTCGCCCCCCCCCCGGGCCATATTTCAAATTTCCTATTTCATATTTCAAATTTTCTATATTCCATATTTCAAATTTCTATATTCCATAATTCAATTTCCTATATTCCATAATTCAATTTTCTATCAGTTCCATATTTCAAATTTCCTAGGACATTTGGCCCGTGGGGCATTTGGCCCGTGGGGGGGGGGGGGGAGGAGG